CAATGTCCCCCTGCCCCAGCAGCAGGGAGCTCCTGGCCCTGGCTCCCTGATCAAGGGCAGGGGACATGGAAAGAGCTTCAGGGGTAGGGTAGGTTTCAGCCCTGTACCACGATCCACTGGTGGGGCAGCTAGTTCACTGCTAGCTGCCCCACTGACAGATCCATGGGCGACTGGTGCCTCAAGTCAGGGGGGCATGTACCCACCCTGACACCAGTCAGCAATGGGGGGGGTCCCCCTTGGGGCCAGTCTCACTGACCAGGGTGGGGGGGTCCCCCAGCAGCCAGTCATGCTGATGGGGGGGTGGGGGGCAATCTCACTCACCAAAAAGCAGCCGCGTCACTTCCGGAAGTCCCACAGCCACTTCTGAATTCGGCATGGCCGCTTTTGCTGGAGGCCATGCTTCCCAGCCAGCACTCGCAGGATAGGCACCAGTGCTCCCGCCTGTTGCCTAAGCAGGGAGCACAGCCTGACAGGGGGTGCACGTGCCCCCCTATGCATCACCACTGGGCAGATGGGACATACCACACCCCTACAGCTCTTTCCAATCACCCAATCCCATCCCCCACTCCACAGTTGCAGGGCGGAGGCTGCAGAGCCTGTTCCCCACTCAGCTTCATGAGTGTGGAGCTGGGCAGGGAACAGTGGGGCTCAGGCTGGGAGATAAGGGCTCTCCCAGCACCGGCCCTGCGACTGCAGGTCTGGCACCGGGACATAAGGTTCTCTCAGCCCCTGCTTCCTGATCGTGATCTTGGAGCGGGGAGCTTGGAGCTGCCCGCTGCTGGGGCCGGGGACCAAGTCCCTGCTCAGGCTCCATAGTGGAGCCCACCCCAGCAGAAGGCAGCTCCTGGGGGCAGGGAGCAATCTCTCATCTCTCGCCTCCTAGTGGCTGGCTGACTGGAGCAGATTTGGTCCTGGTCAGGCATCTACACAAGCACTAATGCACCATTACTAATGAAAAGTAAATTTGCTACTAGAATTTGCAGGTACCAAAGTTATTCATGATTAGAGAGGTTTATTATGCAGTAAGCATGTGCATGAGAGGTTTAGTGGGCAGTAAAGCATCTTGTGTAGATGCGTCCAGTGGGTTGAGAGCTGACCAGCTCTGAGGAAGTCATTGGTATTAAAGATGCCTCAACAGTGGGATGAAGCTGCAGGAACTAGAGGCAGCTCCCTTTCAGACTAACAAAGTTTAGGGAGCCCTGGGTTAAAAGTCCTGCCAGTGTCATGCTGCACCTTAGGCAGAGGCCCGATGCAGAATGGCAGCTAGGAAGTGTGGTCCAGTGGTTTTCACAGCCATTATTACACATTTACTTTGTGCTGTTCCCCTTCAAAGCCCTTTGCGAATTACAGCACCCCTGAAACAGGCCGAAAAGTAGTGTTCCTTGTAAGAAACACGGAAGCTGAGGCCAAGACAAGAACTAACTACCCTGGGTCACAAGACTGTTCCCTGCAGAGCCAAGTTCAGGAGGGCATAGCTCCTAGCTCTGAGGTTGACCCAGTACATCATGTAGATCAGTGGCCCTCACCCAGCCTTTTTAGACTCAAGGCACCCTCCATAACTTTTCTGAATTCAGCAGGCCCCTTGTTAAGAACCACTGCCTCAGCTTACCTCGGTGCGTAGCATCACTGTGTGTGCGCGGGGGAGAGAACCAGGGCAACCACCCTGGGCACTGCCTTTGTGGAAGGGCACGAAAAGAGCCATTGCTGCAGCTGGAGCAGATCATGCTGCTCCAGTAGGCACAGAAAGACTAGGTGCTGCCCCAAAACTGCCCCGGATACAGAGCCACACTACTTTTGAACCAGGTGAAAGTGCTGCATGTTTCTTGTGCAGAGCCTGACTGGGAAGCAGGTGCAGGAGCAGGCATCCTGCCCACATCAGTTACCTGTGAAACCTCATGCGGGCAAAAGCACCTGCTTCTGTCACAGTCCTGCCCAGTCTGGCCCCGCACGCCCCTCCTGGCAGTTCCACCTGACAGTGGCAGCTTGGAGATTTCCCTTCGTTTCTGTGCTTCTGCAGGCTGCCACACTGCTGTTACTCCAGTGAGCTAGTTTCATCCCGTCTGTAACTACAGCGATTGCAGAGGTGGAAACCAAAGGGTAGATTGATCCCTGTGCTTTCAAACTAGCTGTAAGAAAGCTAAACTATTAAGAACAAAGATACAGCACCAACCTCGAGGGAACGGACTACTCTGTGTTCCTAGCGTTAGACCTCATTTTAGGGCCTGATGCAGGAAACGGTGTTGCAAGCATACTGCTCATTGTGGGTGCAGTCGCATCCTAGCCCTGAAGTCCCACCTCAGCATAACCCAACGCCAGACAGGCGGGGGCAGTAAAGGGACAGAGCAGGGCAAGGAGGTTGCATTGTATGGAAGGGCAGCATGTCAGTCAGTCACACCCCGGGACGCACATAGCCTTATTCTAATGAGCACTTCAGGATGAATGTGCAGTGCCTGCTTATTTGGCTTTCACTGCATTTCTGAACAGAAGAACAAGGACTAAAGGAGTATGTATTGAGGCAGGAGTTGGTTAGCTGAGTCCAGGCAATGACATTGAATAGGAATGACATTGTGGATAATGACCTGCTGATTGCACTGCAGATGTCCCTCTTTATCAGAATAGCCTTATTAAACCTTTGCTTCCAAACCATGACAGTTGTCTTAGTCATGCCCAATTAAATAGTCATTCAGCAAGAGTAGGAAAGAAAAAAACTACAGCAAACAAGTTGCTCTTATAACTAAGACACTTTTTGAAAAAAAAAACCCATTGTTTTGCTGAACAGAAGTGTCTCAGTAAAGGATTTTTGTTTCTTATTACGGCTTCTCAAGTTGCAGCATAATCAGCAACTCAGCTGAAAGCTGCAAACAGGCAAGCACCATATACGTGCAGAGAGCAATGCTTTGTCAAATGATGGCCTTTAAATAAGCTGGGAAATAGTTAACAGGCATGTCTTTGGGGTTTACCTTTTAACACTCTAGCTGCCAATATTGTAAAGGTGAATGCAACCTTATCCTGCTCCACACTGTTACACAGTTATGTTTGACCTTCAACTAAGCCAACAGCTAGACAGTCTATGCTGAGAATTAGAGGCTCACAGATGTCAGGTCTGCTGTTGGGTGGGGGTGGGTAGGGAAGGGATGTCAATGTGATAACAAGCAGATACGGGGGGCATTATACAACTCACTTGGGTCCTTTGTGTTTGTTCTTTCACCAACCAAACCCAGTACTAAATGGAATGGTACATCACCAGGCTGAGGGCTGGAGTTCGGCATAAACATATCAGTACCTGGTTAGGGAGACACAAGGTGGCACACACAGGCACGTGTTCACACTTTGGCATGGTTATATTTGAGCCCATGTCAGTGTGGATCAGCTCAAAGCACTTTACAAACACAGGTCAGTGAATCGTAGTAGCATCTTCTTGAGAGACCCAAGTAGTAGCATCCTCGTTTTAGAAACCGATTCCTCAGTAATGCTGAACTGCCCCATCCTGCCTTATCTTAGAAACGCCAGGATCTTTTCTGGAATTGCTGGACCTTATCCCTGGTTGCACACCTACAATGCAATAATAGATACTTTCCACTCTGCACATTTGTAGGCAGGAGTCCCAAGGCTACTGCACTCAGGTCAGAGTTGAAGGGAGTTACCTAATCTCTCTGCTTCTGTGCAGCTAGCTAGATCTAGGAGGGGACCCAAGCACCTGGCTGCCACATCAGGCACCCAGCTCCAACATTTCCGTGCCACCAAAATGCTCAGAAACCTCCACTCATTTAATCCAGTAGCTGCCTAAATATCCCTTGGTAAAGTTCCCATAGCACCTACTTCTGCCAGTAGGTACGCACTACTTGGGCTGCTTGGCATGACAGGATTTCCAGCCACATACTCCTGTGGCCCTCCATCTGCAGGGCTCTGCCTTGTAGGTGTTCCCAGTACCTGCCTACTGGAGTGGGCACCAACCCTGGTGCACATGTTCCATTAAAACATTTCCCAAAGGCAAAAAACCCAGGTTTGAATCCCCACTCTGATTAATTTAGAGCAGTGACTTGACACAGGTTTTCCACCTCCCAGAAGGGAACCTAACCACTGGGGCACTGAGTATGGCAGGGAAGCTCGCTCAAGCTCTTCCACATTGTATAAGTAATTAAAATGTCATAGGAGCAAAGACTTGCAACCTTATTCTCTTATGCTACAGGTCAGTGTCCTGGGTTTCTGCCACAATCAGTCACAAACACTCCAAGCGCAGCATCTCAATCCCTTTGCTTATTCCCCACGGGGGGCTGAGCCCCATTCTCATTGCTGGAAGCTGGAATTTTGGCTAAGAGGAGCTTTGCTGTCCAGTTCACGTTGTACACATGCAGTACCGTTACAGTGCCAAGCTGCTTGAGGTCTCTCACACACAGCAAGTTAAAACCCCCTCTTTTTCTATTTACACTTAGGTCGCACTGCGCAGGCGGTGGCAGTTCGAGCCAAGGCGTTTGGATTCAATGTGATATTTTATGACCCGTACCTGCAGGATGGGATAGAAAGGTCCCTGGGAGTCCAGAGAGTCTACACACTCCAGGACCTGCTGTATCAGAGTGACTGTGTATCGTTGCACTGTAACCTTAATGAACATAATCACCACCTTATCAATGACTTTACGATCAAGCAGGTAATTTACCTTATCTGTAAAACAAAGAAGAGCGGTTTGTGGTTCCAGCTGCAGACCCAAAGCATGTTTTCGTTGAATGCTGGAGCCGCTGCTATCGCAATGACAGTGAGCAGGTGCAGGTAGTAATAATATGTGTGTTTGTCTTGAGATAGTTAGAGTTACATCCAATGGCCCATCTGTCTCTTGCACATAATGTACCAGGTGATAGCATTGTGGCAGCTAAGACAGAATCCATTAATGCACTCACTGAGACAGGAACAAAAATACTTTTTCTTTGACATTTCAAACTAGAGTTCAGGCCTTTTAAATAAAACCCCTTGGTAGTTAGTCCACATAAGAACCTCTTTGTTAGCTTTGAAGGCTTTCTTTTGGGAATAATTCTCTGGTAGCGACCTCCAAACCTGCACAGATAATATACAAGACATAGATGTTTGCAGAGAGCACAATCCAGCTGTACATACCAGATAATAGCAGTCAGAGATTCTGCATGTGCAACCCAGGATTTGGAAGATGCCTGCAGATGACATTCCCTACTGTAGCCCTGGAAAGCATGTAGCAGTAAATGAAGAGATTTAGTATAATCACTGAACGTTCTCTTATTTCCTCCTGGCCCATCAGATGAGGCAGGGAGCATTCCTAGTAAACACAGCACGCGGTGGGCTTGTGGATGAGAAAGCCTTAACTCAAGCCCTGAAGGAAGGAAGGATACGAGGGGCAGCACTCGACGTGCACGAATCGGAACCATTTAGGTAAATAATGGCTTGCATTTTGCTCTTATTAAAAGCTGCACATACATGGCTACTCTTCACCCTGCAGGGGTCCTAGGGCCCAGCTCCCAGGATCTGCCATGCAAATGGGAATCCCAGAATTCCTGGAGTCACGAATGGGAACATGCAGTAGTCAGTGCTCTAGACCCATACTCCGGGGAAGCCCTGCTTAGTAACTGTAGATGCTACTTCAAGAGGTGCTGTTAGGTCCAAGGCGCATGCCATTACAAAACATTTGCTACTGGACAGTGAAAAGGCCAGGGGTGGCAAGCCAGTCAGTTGGGCGGTCAGTTAACTGCAAATTTTTTGACCAGTCAAAGATTAAAGCAATTTTGTGGGGAATGAATTTTTTTTCCTTAGTTTTCTTTACAGAAGTATAATTTTTTAATATTCTTGATGTTTCTTAGTGGAAAAAAACTATGCTTTTTTGTATGTTATTTGACTGCATTGGCAAATTTTTACAATTTTTGACTGATATTTGACTGGTCAATTAACTGAACTTTTGTTTGACTGGTCAAATACCCAACCCTAGATGAACCCAACAGGTTTCAGTTTGCGTCCGGTGCGTTTCTCTTGGACACTAGCCCGCGGCTGGCGGGTTCAGAACCTGCATGTGAACGGTCTCTTCCTCGCACGTCATTACCATTCCTCTTGATTGGCATTTACAAAAGCTTTGGGGAGCAGGGGGGATGGTTAAGCACAAATTTACAAACACACACCTGCCACCCAGCTGTGGTCCTTTAAATCCCAGCTTTTGTGACTGTCCACCTTTATTGCCCCTGCCATCCATAGTTGAGAAACAAAGTCTGCTTGTTGACAGATGAGTGATGGTTGCGGCTAAAGTGCCCAGTCATTTCTCTCCTTGTTAATACAAGTGATGACATATTAGGCACAACCATCCTCCAGTTTGAGCTCTCAAACCCATCTGCTCTTTTTAATGCAACTGCTGACTTTCATGTAGTAACGCCAACCCCCAAATGACCTGGGAAGCCCTGTGCTACACCAGTATTTCCACTCTGTTCACATTTCCTCTCCTGCTGAGCCCATCATGAGACCCTCCACCCATTCATCTTAGACTAGACAAGCCGGTGGTGTGCCACCTCAACCATACTGTGCTGGTGGCCAGAACTGCACCAGCTGGGGAGCAGCTCACAGGTGAAGGGGGCTGGCCACTTGGGCTCTCACCCTTAGTAATTTATTTACCCTGATTTTTCACATTCATATAGTTTTGCTCAAGGTCCGTTGAAAGATGCCCCTAATTTAATTTGTACTCCGCACACGGCTTGGTACAGCGAGCAGGCGTCGCTAGAGATGCGAGAAGCTGCTGCTACTGAAATCCGGCGCGCGATCACAGGTATCTACTGCAGGGAAGCTGTTTATCTTGTGCACATTGTGTGTGTTTGCCTGCAACATGTGTCCCATGGCTGGGCTCAGAGGAAGGAGCCCTGGACATGACACAGCTTTCCACTGAGCTGCTGTTACTTTGAATGACTCCATTTATGGCCCAGTATAAAGAGGGGTTGAATAGGGGTAGATGTGATGCGAGTGCTTAAGTCTTATTACCCTTCTGAGTGGGAGAGGTAGGAAGAAGCTCAGTGACTTAGTTTTCAGGAGGTGCTAGGCACCCACGTGGAAATGTGGTGAGGGGCTGAGGGGGGGGAACACTGATTTACAAGGTACAGGTTTCCCTCACTTTATGCTGTACATGCATTCCT